TGAGGCCTCATTCACAAGAGATTCCCAATAAAATAGGCAAGACCAGACTTCATATTTCAAAAGCAAAGTTTTTTAAAAGTACAGCCGGTAAAGGAACCTTCCTCCTTCCAGCACCATTTACTGTGGATGAAAAAAAAGTGCCCAAGGCTAACTCAAAACACTCAGCTCAGATTATTTACTCCTCATATGACTGGCATAAAAACAATCTCCCCCGGGAGGATAAATAATAAGAGATTATTATACAATGAGGTCAAATTATCAATTCATAATTTTCCTTCAATAATAGTAATCATGTGCTGTCAAGTCAATTCTGATTTATGGCAACCCTTTTCTGGGTTTTCCAGGCAGGGAATACTCAGGAGTGGTCTACTATTCCCTTCTTCTGGGGGTGTTCTAGGGCTGTGCAGCTTGCCCAAGGCTACACAGGCTGGCTTTACCCACAGGAGGCACAGTGGGGAAGTGAACTCCTAACCTCTGGCTTCTACAGCCAAATACCTACAGCATTGACCTATCCAGCCAGCTATTTTTCCTTTAGGAAGGGCTTTTCTATTAACTGTAACACAAGTTTCAAAACATTGAAACTTGCATTACATCAAAGACATCTCCAAATTTAATTGAAAAAACTCCAGTTTGAATAATATACTTGCATGTTTAGAAAAAAAAAATACACAGATGGGAGATGGGAGGCACCTCACTTTGAGGGCTCTTCAGGAACTATAACCCAAGTTCCAGCTCGCAAACTGCACAGCCTTTTCAATTTTGTGAGGTACTTCAGGAGCTGTTTCCAGAATCTGTTTTTGCTACTCAAACACTTTGGTAGTATTCTGCTCAGCACAAGAAAGTGATGTGGTAAACACTGAGAATAAACACAGGGCTGTAATATAGAAGTAAAATCCATGAACAAATTTTGTACCAAAAGCAGAAAACAGTATTCAGTATATTTGTATGGTCTGTCACACACATTTTTACCCTGTCATTTTTAGTCCTCTTAAGCAGGGGTCCTGACCCCCAGTTGCCATAGCCTTGGGAGGACCAGGCCACAGAGACGCATCTCCCGTCCCCCGCACACACGCCCCTGATGCACAGCTCGCCCACCCGCACGCACAGGTGCCCTGCCCATCCACACATGCATCCTCCCCACCCAAGTGTGCCCCGCATCCAGGCATGCGCGTGAGCACTCCCCCCACCTGCAAGCGCACCCCAGCCATCCGTGCAAGCCTTCTGAACGTCTCTTTGCAGTCCAAAGAGCTAGAAACTGGTTGTGATGGCCATCTAACCACCTCGGTTATCAGCGGAAGTATGACTCTGTGTTCTGATTGCTCAGAAATATGACGTCCTGCACTCATGTCCTGCTTGTGGGTTTCCTATGGAAACAGCTGGCTGACCACTATGGGTCTGGAATGCTGGACTAGGTGGGCCTATGCCTACGGTCTGACTGACCCTAATTCCTCTAATCCTAACTCTGCCATCACCTTGATGAGCAATGAAAATTAGGATAATCATGTTTATATCCTGTGGCTCAAAATTCAAAATGTGGGAGTCAAGAGATATTGAACCTCTTGCTTTTAGCACAAATTGTAGCACCGATAATAGCACTGCCCAACCTCAAGACAACCTGTTGCTTCAGGTACAACAGCAGATTGCACTGTCTTGACCCTACCCCAAGTCAAAGTACGGTATGTGGTAACATAGTGCCAGAGGCTGAAGAAGCAACTTTACTTTTTGCAATAAAAAGTCGCATGAACTCTTCATGCCCGTAATGCAGTTATTACATAGCCAATATCTCTGAGGCGGCTCTGCAGTAGTGGTAGATCAAGCCCTGCCAGTTTTCATATTGCTTGAAAATTTGAGCAGCACCCACCTTAATCCTTCTTGATACATTCAGTGATCTCTAGGAGTGATACTTGCAGAAACTTGTATTACAAGCATTTATCAAAACTTAGATAAAAGCTTTTCTGTGTTCAGCTACAAACCTCTGTGCAGTGATTTTATTTTGATTAACTTTGGCCAAGGTGGGGAAGAATCTTGAAATGGCAGAGGCAAAACAGTTCCAACTGGTGACTTAAGTGAATTTTTAAAAAAACTTCTTTTGTTCAGCTCGGCATTTGACTGATGGTTTTATACTTGCTTTCATGTTTTAATTCCTGCAGTTGAAGTTGTTTATTTATTGGCTTTAGTGCTTTGGCTGTTATTTGAATATGCATTTCATTGCCTTTTGTTAGCTGCCTTGGGAGTACTTTATGCTAAATGCTAGGATAGAGACATCAAACATGAAACCAAAGTGTTTCATTAACATTGACGCAATAAGAGCAAATCTCATGGTAGGATGTTTCTGTATTGTTTGCCAAGTACCCAGAAATTCCACCCAAAATCGCAAGACTTGGATTTACTTGCTTATTAATTCATTTCATTCCAGGGTGGGAAACCATTGGACCTTCATATGTTCTTGATTTCAGTTCCCAAAAGCTCCATCGAACATGGCCAACAGTAAGGGATTTATGAGAGTTCTAATGCGAGCACCTAGAGGGGAAAGGTTTCCCCACCGATTTTATATTGTCAGATATATGAACTAGCATCCAGTTGGCTAAAAACGACAAGGGCAGTCATGTAAACATTGCGACAGGCTCCCATTTTCACACTGGTTGAAAGAGTGGGTCACACAATTGGTCATGTAATGAGAAACCTGCTGGAGTGAGGGGATTCTTGTGCTCCACATTTAGGCAAACAAGACCCTATCCGAAGAATCAGTTTTACTTTTATAGGAAACCAGAATGACCCAAAGAAGTAGCATCATCTAGTTCCAGTTCAAACATGAGCATGCTTTTAGTTACAAAGGTGGAAAACCTGAGTTTCCTTTATCTGACATTATTACTGCTGCTAGTAGGTAGTTTCTCTTATTTTCTTCAAGAGGGCAACTTATTTTGTGGTAGCAGCATCAGCTCTTTGACATGTATACAGTCAGTGACACAAAAGTAATGTCTCACATGAACAGCGATGTGCGGACAGCCAATCCCATAGATCACTCCCACCCAGCAGGCACCCCACCACAAAGATAGATGGTGCTGGCCATGTGGGTAAGCCACTGTGACTGCTCTCCTCAATCACTCACAGGTTTGATTATTCCCCAAGTTTTTCCCATTAGATACCCACACTACAAGGAAGTAGTTGCCCTCCTTCAAGCATACATTTAGGAATGTGTATTTTTGCATCCATGTATAGCCATAGGCTTACAATCTTTCAAGCTATCTTAAAGTGCACAGATAGCCAGTAAGTCCATTAGGTTTACTAGAACACATGCCCTATTCAGATACAAAAACTTGCGGGGAAAAGTATATTATACCTTAATCCCACAATATCTTTTCTCAGGTTATTTTTTCAGGTGGAAACACTTATTTCCAGCGACTTTGACCATATCATGTATTTGCTGGTGCAAATGGAATACTGCCTATGTGAGGTTGTTGTATCTGTGGACCTACGTAGGTCATTTCCCCCCCTGCATTCTGTGCTTCTGAAAAGGGCAAGAAACTATACCAAAACTTGTCACAAAAGGCACTGAAGGGTACTAATTTGAATTATAGGCCTGAAGGAATCCTACATAACTGTTTTTCATCAAATCTATATTTTCCTGTTATATGTACAGCTACCTCCTCCTTTGCTAGGAAGGCCATTTTAAAGATTTCTCTAAAAGGCCCTTGTAGAAGGGTACTAGAGAATGACAGGCACTGAAATAAATTATTTAGAAGTCTGTATACTGATGGCTCAAACAGCCATCTGCTTTCCACTGCATCTCTGTGTGTTTGAATTTGTACTCTATTGCCTTGTCAAGGGGAGGGAGATGCCAGGGACAGAAATGCCCTTCTGTAAACTGTGATGCCTTCCCTCAAGAAACCCACCAAATTCTGTGGGAACTTTGTCATCTGAAAGTGTAGATCAGGCTCATCATGAGACTTTGGCTTAACTGAAGATCAGGAATAAAAAAAAGGGTTATGTGGAAAAGTTATGTTTTTGAATTACAAACTCCCCAGTCCCTCACCCGGCATGCCATGTCATGAGCTAGCTTTGTAATCAGAGAGGAGCATGAACCACCAAATCGTTGGTTTGTGCCAGTTTGTTTTTTGGCCAAACGGGTGTCGAGCAGTTTCCAGCATCCCAACCACCACTGGGCACCCACTCAGAGGCAGTGCCCAAAGGAGGCAGGGCAGGGAAGCTGGGGGCACTACGTCTAAGTGGTCACCAGCCAGAGGTGGTGGGGCTGGGAAGCACTGAACACCTCTTTAGTCAAAAAAACTGGCACAAACCCTTGTTTCGGCCGTTTGTGTCCATATGTATTTGTAATCTTAGGAACACTACCCTTTCTTTGCCTCTGTTATCTCTCTGAAACACTGAGATAATCCTAGATGTATTTGTACCAAATATGTGTCACTAGAATCTAGAAAAATTCCTTTTCTGGGCAAGAAATTCCATAATCCTTCAGCCACCATGAATGCGACAAGTTGGGATGCAGTACATAAAGTTTCATGCTAAATAAAATGTGTTGGCCTTTAAGGTATTACAAGACTCTGTAGATTTTTCTGTGGCAAGTATGGCTAAGCCTCAAGGAATGAAAAGCAGGTATGGAGAAGGGTAGCAATTCTAATAGAGACATTATCATGTTGATCGAAAACCAAGCTTTATCCCCAATCCAGGTTGTTAAAATATACAGAGCCCAGAGGTACTGTTATCACTACTGGAAAGGTTCAGAATATGTAAGAATTCTGCATGAAAGACTCCACTATGTCTGCCTAGATCTTTACTGAGAATAGAACTGATATTTCAAATAGATTCAGCTTAATTCTTTCAATAAATCTTTACCCCTTAAAATGAATCTGAAAGATTTTGCATACTGCAGCATAAGTGAAATTTACTGGATAGTACCAATATCAGGGTTGGCTTTGAAGAACAGTAACTCAAGCTAGGTTACTGTTGGCTCTCATCTGTGAAGATAGGATGAAATCAAGTCATAAATATACACATTCTTTAATAGTAGAAACTAGTGCTAATTCACAGATCCTGGTAAAACTCTGTCCATTTTCTGCATAAATTAACACCTGCCTTTCCCAGCTAAAAAAGCTGTTACCATCATATCTAGGATTAGATACCTCCAAAGATCTATACCACATTTGTTATAAACTGCTCAAAGCAATTCACTTAGTTCAAACTGATACTGTTGGACAGCAGTGTAAAATCTGCTGTTTTCTTCAGTGCAGAATGATGCATAAGTCCCCAGCAACTACAAAACCATCCAAATGAGATAAGAAGGAAGAATACTGAGGACTAGTAACTTTTTACACTGGTTAATTAGAATACAATTCTCTAGGAGAGGAAACATAATAACTGCATGAAGTTGAGAAAGGGGGGGGAGAAATAAAAGCACAATCTTAGTACTTTAAAATTATTTCAAACGCAATGCTGCTTGTGAATCTCTCTCTCTCTCTCTCAAAAACAAAAACATTTCTTTTCTACATTTGTTTTTAAAACAACAAATTCTCAGCATCCTGACACATTTTTACAAGTTCTTCCTTTCCACAAATCAACTCAGCTTCTACAAAGGGCAAACATGCCTTTCTACCCATGTCTCAAGAGAGCAAACCTGTCATATAAAAGTGTTAATTTATTACAAGCCAGTCTTTAAAGCACAAGTAATATCAAACCAGTTCAACCTTGAACCCCTGGGGATGCACCAAAAGCCCACAGGGGTTCTTTTCAGAACACTTTGGTTAACAGCTATTCAGTCTTAATAATTTCTTGTCCTTCTCTGAAGGAAGAAAAAGAGAACAAAAAAGAAAACAGAAAGATATATTCAGGTTTACCATTATCACTAGAGATGCATTTCCTTGGCATGTTGTAACAATCCATATCTTAACTGGATGAGTTCTTCAGCAATTCAGGGAAAAATAGCTGAACTGTACTAAAAAAGGAGCAATTGGAGTATCAACCTGGATAGGTTTATATTCGTAGTTGGTCCAGAGGGAAAAAAGAAGGAAGAAACTGGCTTTTATTCCTCAGAGTTGTCATCTGAAGTCACTTGCAGTACCCACTGCATTGTTTAAAAGGACAAAAAACAAACAAACAAACGAAGCCACGTGTTTGTCTCCTCTTTGCCTGCTTTCTTTTTCATCGAGATTGCAGCTTGGGTGTTTTTTTCTTCCTGAGTGCTACATAGTTTGCACATCCACCATGACATCAGAGTGCTGTAGCAAATGGAAGGCTGCCAGCCTTCATTGCAATGCAGAGGCCGATTCTGCGTGGGTCATGCAGACTTCAGGACATTGGCGACCTCCAAACCACTCAAGCCTGATTGGTTTCTCCAGAGGAGTCAATTCCTTTCCACCCTTGGGCAGACAGGGACGAAAACCTACAACCTGCGATACCTCACTCCCACCCTCACTCCTGGCAACCAAATAAAGCCCTCTTTCTGACTCCAGTGAATTTAAGACAGTAACAGTGAGAAAAGAGCAGGTTTCACCAGGGGACAAAAATAAAACAAAATAAACTCCAGAACTATTAAGTACCTCTGTAGATAAAGCAGGGCCATTTGACCTGGGGAGGGAGAAGAGGAAAAGGCACTGAGTAAAATATCTCCCCCACTCCCATGTGCCCAGAAAAATCCAAATATAGTCGATAAATTCAGTGAGTCAATAGCTTCAGCCTCGTGATCCAGCTGACTAGCAAAGAGGGTTCAGCGGAGGAGGATTTTGTCGACGAGGTGACTGGTGGCTTTTTGGCTCCATCCTCCTGGAAAGGGATGGTTGCACTGTTGTGAAGATCCACATTAACAAAACACCGGCTTCCCCTGATGTAGTCTGCGCCCCTCACCAGCTGCCTTTCTGCTAAAGGCCTGGAAAACTGATGCTGCAGTGGGGAACTTTCTTCAATAATGGGTGGGATTCTCTCATTGCTGAAGTACCGGCAGAGAGCATTTTCACCTGTAACACAAAACAGGAGATTCAGAAATCCTCGCACTGGTAAAGCCCCAGAGGCTGAGGCACAGCATGTCCTGAGGACATGTTCACAGTAATGCTCCTTGTACATTCATATGGCACCAAGTGTTCCCCTTTATCCTGCATGGAAGGTGGGTATCACCTTGAACTAGGAAGGTAGAATTACCTTCTAACTCATTTTTATCAAGAATTTATCAACATTCACAGATGTCTTCATATTTGGGATGGAAGGAATTGATTTTTTTTTCCTGTTTAGAATGGAATGTGCAAGAAATCAAAACAGGGACTCAGCCATCCAGGACCAGAATTTTGAAAGGTTAATGGTCACAAATCTGGCTTTGAATCCTTGAATATCCAACCATTTTAGAACTGTTCTGTGATTGCCACCTCTTTCCTAAGATTCTTCTTATCTTTAATGGCTGTAAGGCAGCTGCGACACTGATCTCTCTATCCTGGGAACAGCTGTACTGACTATCGCCGGTGCAGAAGGGAGAGAATTTCATTTCAGTTAGTTGTTGAAGAATCAGTCAAAATCTGCAGATTTCCTATTCAGGGAGGGGGAAAATGAGTTTTGAAGAATGAATATCTGGAAGAAAGTGAAACTTGCATATTTTCTATTTCCTAACCTCTCTCTAATGCTATCACAATTTGCATCCTGATCTTACCCTCTTTTCAAATTTCTCCGACACAAACTGAAGAGGAGAGATCATCTTTAGGGCTGAGTTAAAAGTTAGGTACAAAGGTAGGCACTTTAATCCTATGCTTGGTTCTCCTAGGAGAAGGGGGGAGGGAGTCTGAGAAGAGTTGATTTGGATCAAAAACATGGAGAGAGTGGTCCCACAATTTTCCTTCTCATAAGCCAACCTTTGAAAACCTACAGAAATAAATTTGTGCATCGAGAGGGTAGAATGGTAAGAAGTCAGTAAGGAGCACTCTTCTCGTCTCACCGTTTCTCCCCTCTGAATCATTCTCTTACCAAAGCTGCCTGTCCCTCAACAGTCGTAACCAAATGTTCTTTTAATGCCTACAGGTTATGAGGACCTTCAGCTTTGCAGATGTTTGAGAATCAACTCCCAGATTCGTTAATCACTGGTCATACTAGCGTAACCACCAAAATACCATGTTCAATACCATGTTCAATACTTCTGGAGGGCCATAAACAGCAATTCATCTTATTCAATCCTTTCCTTGCCCAATAAAACTCAATAAAGGCTATACTTTTTTGTGCATGTTGTTGTCTTCTCCCGACACTCAGGCAACTCAGATTCTGGTGACTATTGCTACACACAAGGACCCGGAATTTGCCTCACAATGTCAAGCAAAGGAATAATAATCTCAGAGCAAGAGAGCAAAAATTAGGTTCTGCTTTTCATTATACCAAACTGGTTGCCTCCAGCTCAGAGTGGTAGCACAACACAGATAAAGCACTAGCCACTTTTGAATGTAAGGCTCCTAAAAAGGTCCAATGAAGAGGTCAGCAAGTTAATTGTTTTCAAATACATGGTGGAACAGATTAGAAGAAATGGAGGCCACCAACATTCCATACCTTGGCACTGTCTTTTACGTTGAGATAGTGAGGTGTTGGCCATGGACAGTCGGCCAGTCCTGCTCAAAGTTTCAGATCAGAGTTCCTCAATGTGGTGCCTTCCACATGTGTTAGACAATGGCTTACATCATTAACAACAGACATTGAGCATACAGCCTGGAGAGAGCAGGACTTTTAGTCAAACACATCTGGAGGAGTCCAAGTCGAGGAAGCCTGGTTTAGAATATAATACAGTGGTGCCCCGCATAGCGACGTTAATCCGCTCCAACCTTATCCCCCCAGCTGGGCGGTGCTG